GTAAAAGTGACATAAGCATAGAAATGATCAAGTTTGGTGGAGAATAACTACAAAGAAAAATATATCAGCTACTAGTGCAAGTATGGGAAAAGGAAATAATGGCATCGGAGTGGTATGAAGCCCGCATATGCCCTCTGCATAAAAAAGGAGACAAACTAAAGTGTGACAACTATAGAGGTATAGCCTTACTAGACACGGTATACAAAATCTTGGCAAGAATATTGAGAAATAAACTAAATTGCTACACGGAAAGAATCCTGAGTATCAGGCCAGCTTTAGAAAGGACAGATCTACTGTAGACCAAATCTTCTCAATAAAGAAGATACAAAGACTTGTTATGAAGGTAAAGTTCCTCTGCATGTTTTGTTTGTGGAGTTTAGACAAGCATTTGATACGAGTCGATAGAGTCAAAATGTATCGAGCAATGGAACATTTGGGTATACCAAAGAAACTGATCCGGCTAGTAAAAATGACATTACATAACTCTAAGTGTGAAATTGCTTGGCAGGGTCACATATCAGATCAATTTACGGTTGCAAAAGGCTTGAGACAGGGAGACCCTTTAACCAATACATTATTCAACTTAGTGTTAGAAACTGTAATTAGAAAAAGCAACATGAAAGTGGAAGAAACAATCATGAAAAATGAGCACCAGTGCTTGGCATTTGCTGACGATTTAACGATCCTAGCAAAAACCGAGAAAGTAAAGAAAATCATCGAAGAAGCACAAAAATTCGGATTGGAACTAAATGAAGACAAAACCAAATATATATGGGAGGAACAGAAGGGAAAAAAGAAGACTTTAGTGTGAGGTCTGTAATTGGTAGAAGCTATAGTTTTAAAAGGGTGAACAAATTTGAATACCTAGGTGTAGTTTTCGATGAAAATGGAAAAGAGAAATGGGAGCTGGAAGCCAAAATAGCAAAAGGGAATAAAAAAAATAGGTAGTTTAAGAGCTCTACTGAACTCAAAATACGTTTCTAGACAAGGTAAAGTCAGAATATATAAAACAGTAATTCGACCCACACTAACATACGCCGGTGAGACATTGATATTAAATAAGAAGGAAGAGGATACTCTGGAAAGATGGGAAGGAAAATACTGAGACGCATATTCGGAGGACGGAAGACAGAAGATGGTTGGGAGAGAAGAACCAACAATGAATTAATGGCTTTATACAACGAACCTACCATTACCAAGTTCGTCAAGTCACAAAGAATCATGTACAAGTAAATGATACTTCTCCTTGGTTCGTTTTCATCTACTTTCTTCTACTTGGTCAAACTTTAAAAGTTTTGTTTTTTGATAATATTGATAAATGTATATTTTAAATTTTCACGTTGACTTATCAATTTAAAATATTTAAATTTAAAATTCTATAGTAACTAAAAGTAATAATCAATAACCTTCAGACGTCAGTTTAGACATTTTCAATTTTCCATTAATAATTTTAAATACAGAGGTCGCTCACGGATTTATTTCCGTATATCCGAGCTTTCTCCTTCATTTTACTTCAAAAATGTAAGTCAAAAACAGCTGTTGTCGTTGCTGTATGTGGTAACCATGTTTTCTAAAAAAGTTTTTCATGTGAATTATACATATGTATAAGGGTTAGACCCAAGATCTGTGGCCTAGAGAGCCCGATTTTTGTTTTTTAATATGTTGTTTGTCCACAATTTTCCTTCTATGAAGTATTTATTGCCTAATTGACGTAAGTTTTTTCTGTCCTTGTATTTTATAAAAAATTTACTTAACTTAACGTTATTTTAGGATAGCTCTGATGATGACATTTATTATGTCGAAAGTATACTCAGCTTAATTAATAAATTATTTTACACACTATCAATTTTATTGAAAACATACAAAACCTGCTTACCAGTTAGACCTATTTAGAAGTGTGTACAAGTCTTACAGTCTTTTTCAATACAAAGAATCAGACGGTTGGGATATGTGGAAAGAATGGAAGCAAACTGAATGCCCAAACTAGTAATAACCAGAAAACTAATTGGCCCCAAAAGAAGAGGTAAACCCAGAACGAAGTGGATTAATAAAGTGGAGGAAGACCTTAAATACGTGAAGGTGAGAGACTGGAAAAGAAAAGAACAAAATAGAAGGGAATGGAGAAATATTGTCCACCAGGTCCTTCAGAGTAGTTAAGAATGTTGTATATACATATTTAAGTTAAAGTTTAGTTTAAAATAATTGTAATTAATTAATATTAGGATTATGTTTACAAAAATTGCCCTAGGCCTTAACGGCCTGTTGTGCGTAAAAATAAAAAGGCAAAGCGATATATTGTACATCCGTTTTTTGTTTTTGTCGTCGTAATTATTGTACATTTTGTGGATCCTTTGCTTTATTATAGGAGTACCGTCTAGTCAGTGTTAATTGTCAAAAGACCAACTCATGTCTACCTCGTTTGCTTATCGCCCCGGACCGGTCTTAACAATGGCTCAAATCAGATAAATTTAATAATATTTACGACTAATTGCACCAAGTGAAGTCAACCGTTTTCTGCTAAACAAACTTTAATGTTATACGAGGTAGTTTAAAAAATAATTTCGTTTTTTCATTAATTTCGTGGCAAAATTAACGTATTGTAGAATTATAATGATTTGACATTAAAAAATATATTTACATTTAAAAGACTTTTAATATAGTCTAAAATTATTAACATATATACATTTCGAAATCCTCTTTGATGTCTTCTTCAGTGCTTCCGAGGTCTGAATCTCCCGAGCCCCCATACACTACTACACTGATCACAAAAAAAGCATTACTGCAACTTGAAACAGAGGACAGTTCATTTATACCGTCGATGATGACGTGGTTAGCGTGGAGGTTGGCGTAGGGGTTAGCGTGGGATTGGCTCGGAGGTTGGCATTTCTGACAGTAGGATTTTGATTGGCAGGTGGAGCGGACGATATTTTCTTTATGAGAGGTCTCCATGTCGAAGGTAACCGTCATCTCTTTTATCGATACAATTTGGCCTTTTTTCAATTTATATGGCTTCTCGTATAATTCTTGGTTTATAGTAGCGGAAGGGGGTTATTGTTCTGGAGTTTTCAAAATTAGTTTTGTAACTTGTATGAAGTTATAGTTTATTCGTCTTCCGGGTTTGGACCGTGTCATTTGTGAGTGACCCAAAAGTGGGTTCATCTCGACGTTTCGCTACAATTGTATGTAGCTTCTTCAGGAGAACAAAGAAAAAGAAAAAGAAGACAGGAAGATGGGTAGTTAGCAACGGTAACTCAGTTACTCAACGCAACCAGAGGCGAATACTAACTACCAAGATGGGCATTTGGTCACAGTAACTCAACTACTCAACGCAGCCAGAGGTGAAAACCAAGTGCCAGGACAGGGATTCACGTCCAACAGCTCAGAACTCTAACGCGTCGAGAGGCGGGGAGTGAATCCGTTTCACGGATTCACGTCCAACAGCTCAGAACACTAACGGTCGAGAGGATTCACTCCCCGCCTCTCGACGCGTTAGTGTTCTGAGCTGTTGGACGTGAATCCCTGTCCTGGCATTTGGTTTTCACCTCTGGCTGCGTTGAATAGTTGAGTTACTGTGACCAAATGCCCATCTTGGTAGTTAGTATTCGCCTCTGGTTGCGTTGAGTAACTGAGTTACCGTTGCTAACTACCCATCTTCCTGTCTTCTTTTTCTTTTTCTTTTTCTTTGTTCTCCTGAAGAAGATACATACAATTGTAGCGAAACGTCGAGATGAACCCACTTTTGGGTCACTCACAAATGACACGGTCTAAACCCGGAAGACGAATAAACTATAATTCTGACTCTGGCCGTGGAAGCCTACGATTTCATTGTATGAAGTTGTTGTTCTAGAGCTAAAATTGAATCGAAATTGCGAACAGAAATGGAATGTTCATAAATTCTATTTTGGATTCTACGATTTGTTTGGCCTCTCTAGGATCATGGGCAATCTGTAAAAGGAATTTCATAAACTCCGTGTTGTTCATTTAGAATGATGTCTTTGATTGGTCGGACAAGAGATGAAAGTTTTTGTTGGGGGGTAAATATTGTATTTATTCTTCATGTTTTAAGAATTTTGTCGATTTTTTCAGTGGCACCTTTGATGTAAGGAAGAAACACTTTGGTATGATGAGAGTCTGAGATTTGGGTTGAGATTGAGTGGGTGATTGATGTCTGTGGATGCTCCTATTGATGTGGTTTTTTCACGGTAACCGTTTTGAATGAGGTATTGTTTTAAACTAATGTGCTCAGCAGGTCTACTTGCATCATCGCAAAGACGTATTGATCTGGAGACAAGGGTATTCATGACTGAATTAATTTGTGAAGGTGGATGATGAGAGTTGGCATGCAAGTAACGATTGGTATGGGTTTGTTTTCGATAAACAGAGTGATGAAAACCTTGAGATTGGTTTTTCTTTATGATAACGTCAAGAAACGGTAGGGATGAATCAGTTTCCACCTCCATCGTGAACTTGATACTAGGATGTATACAATTCAGATGGGTTTGAAAACCATGGGGCCAAATTACGAATGTATAGTCAACATATCGTAGCCAACATGTGGGTTTGAGCTTTGATGTGGATAGTGCTCGTGTCTTTAAGTCTTTCATAAAGATATTGGCAATTACTGTATACAGTGGGGAGCCCATTGGGGCACCATTTTTGTCTGTATAATTGATTTTGTTTAATTTGTTTAATGAGAGATAAGTGGTCTTGCTGAATACTGTATTTAGTTTTCAGAATATTTAGAGTTTCGTCTATAGGAATGTTTGTAAAGAGTGAAACGATATTGAAACTTACTAGAATGTCTGACTGAATTAAAATCCTATTGTCAGAAAGGTTCGCCCCAACCCCTGCGCCAATCCCCAGGCTAACCCCTGCGCCAATCCCCAGGCTAACCCCTGCGCCAACCACCACCCAAACCACGTCAATATTAACGGTATAAATGGCAATATTAATAAAAATAGATATATCCATGATTTATATTTTTGTTTTATTTTTTTTAGATTCCCATAAAAAGAAATTAGTAGCTTGTTCGTGGCTGTTCATAGGATGGATGTTGCACTATATACCATTTTGGGCTATGGGTCGGGTCCTGTACTTTCATCATTATTTCCCTGCTCTTTTATTTAGCTCAATGATCACAGGTATGAAATGGAATCTACTTTAAAAAATAACGCTACAATAGTTTTTAAGTCAGTTACGGCTACTCTCTTATGCATTTTATATTGAAATTAGATTCTGTAGATTAGAATTTATAATGCATAATTTGAGTTACTCCGGCAAATATTAAAAAATCACCACGTAATGATTGAACTTCAGGTCGAACTAAAAAGTTATGGAAGACTTAGTAATGTAAGATGCCAAATTATACGCTCGCTATTTATGTAACCAGAGTTGGGAATAATATTAAAACTAAACAGCATGATCATTATGGAGCCGTTACTGTTCACTGTTGAGCACGAGCCTCTTTCAAGCTCCTCCATGTCTCTCGATTCTGGGCTGTCATCATCCAGTTCCCACCAATTCTTTTTACGTCGTCGCTTCAACGAGTCGGTTGTTGACCTCTGCTACGTTGATCTGCATGTGGTCGCCATATAAAGATAATCCAAATATTATATTGGAACCAAAGTGCCATAGTGCAAATCAATGGGCAACAGTCAGAAGAAATTCAAATCGTAGAGTTAGACAGGAATGCGTTTTATCGCCACTTTTGTTTAACTTATATTCTGAAGAAATGTTCAAAAGTACGCTCAATAATATCAAAGCGGAAGTTACCGTTAACGGAAAATTAATTAACACCTTACGATGTGCAGATGATAACAGATATTGCAACTGTTATAATTGCAACGGGCATAGAAGATCTTCAACATCTAATCGAAAGCTAAGTATGAATTACTGAAAGATGGGAATTACTATAAGTGCTAAAAAACGAAATATATGCTAATCACAAAAGACACATATTGACAATTAATGCTAAAGTGATAAAACAAGTAGAAAAATATCAGTACTTGGGAACGTTAAATGGATCCACGAAACCAATGAATATACTCAAGAAATAAACAGGGTAATAAAATTGCCAGTTCAGCATTTAAATGAATGAAGCCACTCCTAAGGTGCAGAAATCTTAATTAGGAAATTATCCTACGTACCATTCGATATTATATATTTTCAATATCGTATGGAGCTGTGACTTGGATATTAAAAAAATGCAATTTAAATAGAATCGAGACTTTCGAACTCTGGTTATACCGCAGAGTATTAAAAATATCATGGACTGATAGAATTACTCGTACAAATAAACAAGTACTGGAGAGAGTTGATAAAGAAACATAACTAATCACCACTTCTTCTTCTTCTTCAGGTGCCATCTCCGCTACGGAGGTTGGCAATCATCATAGCTATCTTAATTTTTGAGGCAGTAGCTCTAAATAGTTGTTTTGAGCTGCATCCAAACCATTCTCTCAGGTTCTTCAGCCATGAAATTCGTCTTCTTCCGATGCTTCTTCTGCCATCTATTTTTCCTTGCATTATGAGTCGCAGGATGCCATACTTATCGCCCCGCATCACATGTCCTAGATACTGTAGCTTTCTTTCTTTAATTGTAAGTTCAATTTCCTTCTCTTTGCCTATTCTTCTCAGTATTTCATTGTTTGTAACTCTATCTACCCAGGAAACCCTTATAATTCTTCTATAGGTCCACATTTCAAAGGCGTTAAGTCGTCTCATGGTATCTAGATTTAACGTCCATGATTCCACTCCATAATATAGTACACTGTATACGTAACATTTTGTTAGGCGTACTTTAAGAGCTAATGTTAGATCTTTGCCACATAGGACCTTTTTCATTTTTATAAAATTAGAACGTGCTTTTTCGATTCTGACTTTGATTTCTGCCGTGTAGTCATTATTTTCTGTTATAAGTGTTCCTAGGTAAGTGTACTTTTTTACTCTTTCGATCTGCTGGCCCTCTACTATCAAGATTTCGTTAGTATTATAGTTGTTTTTACAAATTTTCATAAACTTCGTCTTTTTGACATTAAGAGAGAGTCCGTACTCCCTACTACACATGACTATTTTGCTCATGAGTCTTTCCAGGTCTTGTAAACTATCGGCTATTATTACTGTATCATCTGCATATCTGATGTTGTTAATTAAGACTCCATTTACTCTTATGCCGACTGTTTCATCTTCCAGAGTTTCTCGAATTACCTCTTCAGAATAGGCGTTAAATAATAGAGGTGATAGAATGCAGCCTTGCCTGACTCCTCTCTTTATTTCCATTTCTTCAGATGTTTCTTTTTCGATTCTTACTATTGCTCGCTGATTGTAATAGAGGTGTGTTATTAGCCTTAAATCTCTTTCATCTAGGTTTTTATTTTTTAGAATTTCCAGGAGTCGATCATGTTTTACTTTATCAAACGCTTTATTGTAGTCTATAAAACAGACGTAAAGAGGACGGTTAACATCCAAACATCTCTGTGTCAGCACATTGAAGGAGAATAATGCCTCTCTGGTACCCATACCATTGCGGAACCCATATTGAGTGTCACTAATATCCAGCTCCAGTTTAGAGTGTATTCTGGCGTGGATAATTTTCAAGAGAATTTTCAAGGTATGTGACATTAAGCTTATGGTTCGATAGTCACTACACTCTTTGGCGTTCACTTTCTTTGGCAAACACACAAATGCTGATGTCAACATTTCTCTAGGAATGATTCCCGTAGTATAGATAGCGTTGAACAGTTCTACTATTATGTCCAGGTTTTTCTCGTTGACCAACTTTAGTAGCTCGCTTGGTAATTCATCTGGACCAGCAGATTTATTGGTTTTCATTGAGTTTAATGCCTGGCTAACCTCTGATTTGGTTATCGCTGGACCTACATCTCCCGTTTGGCTATCTACAGATGTACTAGCTTCTCTCTGGTCATGAAATAATTCTTCGATGTACTCTTTCCATCGTCGTAGTTTTTGTTCTGTTTCCAATATAATATTTCCATCTTTGTCGAGCAATATATTTGAGGTTCTTCTATTTCCTACTCCGGCTAGTTCTTTGACTTTTTTATGTAGGTTGAAGTTGTCATATCTGTTTTGAAGTTCTTCTATTTCTTTACATTTTTCAGAGAAGTAGGTCTCTTTAGCCTCCCTAATTTTTCTTCTTATTTGGTTTTGAAGCTGTTTATAGCGCGTCTTATTGATGGTTTTGTTTTTTCTCCTTTCATTCATCAACTCTAGAATTTCCTCTGTCATCCATTCTTCTTTCTTATATTTAGTTGTTGTAAGTAGTTTCTTACTTGGCTCCAATATAGAGGTTTTGAAGAATTGCCACTGCTGCTCTACGTTGCAGTTATTTCCTGGGTTTCTGTCTAGATTTGTGTTGATTTCGTGTTTCAGATTTTCTTTTGTTTCTTCTGACTTTAGTTTCTGTATGTTAAGTTTATTGTTATTGCGGCTTTTTTGTGTCTTTTTTAGTTGAAGTTGAAATCTAGCAATAAGAAGACTATGATCAGAAGATAGGTCCGCTCCTGGATATGCCTTTACTGCCTGAATTGAGTTTCGATATCTGTGTTTTATTAGGAAGTAATCAATTTGATTTCTGACGATTTTGTTGTCTTTGTCAGCTGGCGATTTCCATGTATAAAGGCGTCGATTAGGTAATTTAAAGAATGTATTTGCGGCTATAACATTGTGCTCCTGGCAAAATTCTATTAGGCGATCCCCTCTGTCGTTTCGTTCACCAAGCCCATATGGTCCTACATTAGGGTAGCATTTTCCCTCGCCAATTTTTGCGTTGAAATCACCCATGATCACTGTTACGTCTCTAGATGCTGTGAGATGTAATGTTTTTTGAAGTTCGCTATAAAAGTTTTCTATTTCTTCTTCATTTTTGTCAGCAGTTGGTGCATAAATCTGAATTAAATTCATTTTTCCATGGGTTGTCAATAATTGCACCATTATAATTCTTTCAGATATCGGAACGAAGCCTGTTACTGATCTCGTTAGTTTTTCAGTGAGGATCATAGCAACTCCATATATGTGTTGGGTGTCGCTGCTTCCAGAGTAATAAATTCGTCCATTGTCTGTATTGATTTCGCCAGAGCCGACCCATCTTGTATCGCTTATTCCTAATATATCGATCTCTAGTCGCATCATCTCTTGCTCTATGCTATATTTAGTGAACAGGGATTTCGCTGACTAACGGCCTGGGAAGCCCTGTCGTTACTGCTGTTTCTTCCCCTGCCGAATCTTGGCATCCGAGAACCATGATTAGTAGGTTGTTGATTGTCATTTTTATTAGCCATGACGATTTCTAGGGATACTCCAAGAGTCTTTAATGCAGTGGTTTCCCGTTGCCTTCTGCATTCTTACGCCGTTGGCCGTTTTCTCGGCTCGTCCGCCTTCAAGATCGATTTCTCAGTCTCAGGGCAAAAGAGTGCCCTTGTCTCTTACCAGCTCGTCCGCCCGCAACCGTTGGCCAATAAAAGGAGTTCTATATCAACCCTAAAATCGAGGGTTGCCACTTCCGCCATCCACACCGTACCGAAGCTCCGCTTCTCCGCCGTGTTTGCCGTTGTGGACTTCATCCGTAACCCTGGACAAGGGACCCTAAACAGGTACTAGTTTCCCGGGTCAGGAAACCCCCGGAATCTGCGGAGGGCAGGGATTGATTCATTTTCCCTGATAGGACTATCTTCAAGAGTTTAAAGAGTTCCTACCCGCTACCCGCCACTAAGTATACAAAAAAGAAAACTGAAATATCTAGGCCTGGTGATGAGAGGACCAAAATATGACATTGTGAGACTCATATTACAGGGAAAGATTCAAGGAAGATATGTTGGCCGATGACAGAATTCTTGGTTGAAGAATCTACGTGATTGGTATCATGTAGATCGATTGATTTGTTTAGAGATTGCCAACCTCCATAGGGAGGCGGCTCTATTAGAAAATTAAAGGCAGTAAGGGGGTGCGACAGGGGGATCCACGGTCATTACTATTGTTCAGTATCCTTCTGGAAGTTAGTCAGAGAAGCCCAAATCAACATGTCAAGACTTATGTATCAACGATAACACCAAAGTCAAAAAGAATTAAAAGAAATAACAAAAAGATTAGAAACAAAAGCTAAAAAGAAGAGACCGGTACATAAACG